AGGTGGAGGAGGAGTATTGCCTGACAGTGGTGCTCATGGCGAAGGCTGGCGGAGGCTGGAGGGCTGGAGAGAGACACCCGGCTCGGCAGCGCCGACAGCGAGGGCTCGCCTCCCCCCTGCCTGCAGCCCTTTATAGCCCGGGCAGGAGGCGTTGCCGGCGCTTTTTTTTCTGTTGCATTCCCAGTGATTTTCATCACTCCTAAAATCTGAGCCAACTTCCAGAATCGTCATTTTTGCCTTTGTTCTATTCATGCTTTTTGTCATCTTCCACTAGAAACTTTTTATCTCACAAAGGGCGTCTTTATGCTTCTTCCGTTTCCAAGTAAATAGGCAGGTGTGATTCAAAGTAGGAGGCTCCTTGCTCAGGGCTACATTTTAATACTGCTTTGTACTGTTAGCTCTGAAACGGAGCTATTCAGACAGCGTTTTGATCGAGTACTTCAGCATCTCTTTTGCTGTGTCTTTTTGTCCAAGCTACTACAGTTTCCTGTCTCTACTCACATTGTACACACAGCACACCTGCAGGGACAACAACCATGTCGTGAAGCCCTGAATGTACATCTACAGTCCCATGAGTACAATGGTGCTAGAAGGAACTTGGCTACCAATCCTGGAAATACAAATCCTCTCTTTTATCCACAAAGAGAGATGTTCTGTAATGAAAAAGCAATGAAAAGGGAGTTCATGCTTCAGGGCTCATTCAATTCTTCACTTTGCTTCAGAGACCACCCAAGAGTGGAGGAATATGAAAAGGCAATAAGCAGGATGTTTTGTGGTGTTCTTTGTGAATGAGAGCCTAGCAAACCATTCAGAAGGGGCAGGGTATGGCTACCAGGTAGCTTAACTTAAAAATTATGAGATGCTCCAGGAAAAAAATGTGGAATAGCATAAAGTAGATGAAAGGAAAAAAGCTCCTGGTCTCTAAGCACTGTGAACAAGAGTGCCAAGTTGACAGTAACATAGCTTAGCAGCTAATGCAACGACGGTATCTGTGATTAACATCTCAATCAGTTGTGACTAGGGCGGACAACTTCAGTGTGAGTTTGGAGTTTACAGCTCCCATATAAACAGAGCTTCAGGAGAGATACCGGTTCCTCTGAAGAGCAAAAAGGCTCAAAAAATGAGTGCACCAGGCATGGTCAACCTCCACTGACTGTTCTCTGTGCTGACCGGCATCACAGCAGAAACCACAAATCTGAGTGTCACTAGCTAATAAGGCAGGGTGTGGAGGAGAAGATATTTCTCATGTGTCTGCATGGTGAATTGTTTGACTGTCTTCACAGACAGGCCCCAACAACCCCTTCCCAACAGCCAAGTTCTTCCTTAGATCATCTGCCAAAGGAGGGGGGAAAGAGTATGGAAATAAGCAACAAAGGTACATTTCTGAGTGGCTTTAAAGGGCATGACTCCCTCCCCTCTATCTGAAGAAAGCTGGAAACGATACAGGAGTGGGATGTGTCCTTGGAATATCAGGAGTTGCCTGCTATGGAGAAGCACAGCTAGCAATGTTCCCATTTGCCACTGGTGAATGGAGACAAGTCTGCGTGGCTTGGAGAACTGGAATCCCCACCCTGTTTATTCTGGCCGGAGAAGGGGTTCAGTCTCTTGGCGGCAGCATCTTCTTGTCGCATGAGCGCCAGCAGACGGGGCGCGGAGCCAGCAGACGCCCACTTTCTGCTCACCTTCCCCAGGTGCGGATGGCAAAGGCGCAGCAGCACGGGGGCAGCTGGGACGTGTAGCTCCAAGGAATGCGCTTTCTCCCCGTCTTCATTTCCTCACCTTCACCCGGGTGAAGGGCAGAACTCGTGGGTTGTCCCCGCTGAGTGCAGCGGTGGCACAAAGAAAGGGGAACGTCAGTGACAAAACCAGTACAGAGCCGCCGTGCAAGTCCAAACACTCAGCCTTGACATGAGCAAAGGCTTTCAGACCAGTCAGCCAGCAGCAATAATCAGCTTCCCACAGACAGGCTGTAGGATGAATAACTGTCACAACATTACAAGGTTAAGAGCGTATTCTTTCTTTACATGAAATTGCCTTTTCTTTCATCTTTTGTTTCCTATTTAACTGCTGTGTCATAAAAATATACATTGCTCAAAATATCTATGATATTTTGATAATACCACAAGGCAGCAATTAAAATCATAAGGTGTTAATTAAGAATTAAAACAACATATTAAAAATTCTAAGATATTATTTACATGACCTCCCACTGAACACAACCACAAATTCTTTGTATCGCACTCTCTTTCAAATAAAAGGCTGAGTATTAAATCAGACTCTGCCTCCGTTTCATGAGCACATGCACACTGTGAGCCTATTTTTTATACATTTCAAAATCAGAATGCCAGTTCTATGGCATAATAGTAATATTATGGTAGCACATTGGTGTTTAAACATGCAATTCTGTCTTACTTCAGGAGGAAAACGGAGATGAAGTTCTGGCTCCAAACATACATATCAGCAGACCTAGTAGATGAAACTAACTGGACAAAAACACTTCTGTTTATTTTAGTGCACTTACAAAGTTTGCCCTAGTATCAAATTATCATAGGAAAGTTCCCTAAAATGAGCTGAAAAGCCACACCTTAATGTCTCTTTCTAAAGTGGTCTTTTATGTCAGATTAACTCAGTGTAGCCTGAGAAGTCAAACCATCTTTCTGGAATAAATATCACTTTCTGAAACCTGCCTCAAGCTGCCGCTGCCTGTCTGCATAAGCCACCACCTGCAGCTCCCTCCTCAATGGGTTTCTTAAGGTCAGGACTAATTATTAATGCTTAAGGCAGGAGAGAATCAACATCTGTTTTCCACACCTCCCTCACAATTTGCAGTAGCAGGAGTAATTAAAACAGGGGGTTTTGTTAGCAAAGTATTATTTGTTGTTTCTATAGCAACACGGGTGTGCCCAGACTTTTCCAGGAGAAAAATATAAAGCAAGGATGAATTCCAGCGAGGCACCTTCAGCATCCCCACGCCGGGTGTCGCAAAGGTGGCAGTTGGAGGGGCATGACCACCACGGGGAGCTCAGAGGAGCTGCGAGAGGTGTCAGTGGTCCCTGCACCATCCACGGGGAGAAGAGGGGGTCCCTAAGAGGTGACCTGGGAAGCCCCAAGTGTTAACTGCGGGCTGTGTCTGTCCCTACCCTTCTTAGGCATCTGAGCTCGGGCTGCGCAACACCTGCCCTCATCCAGCCCCAGGGCATGGAGCACCCCTCGGGGGCACCCCTCAGGCTCGTTCAAGGGTGCGGGAGCAGAGAGAGCGCAGTCTGTAGGACTGCAGAGATGCTGTGGCTGGAAGAGCCTCAGATCAGGAATCATGCCCTGTTATTTTACTTGTGGCCCGTCCGCGATGCACCACGAGGGTGTGCAGTGGCAAAGTGGTGGGAGCCGTTCTCCTGACCACAGCGCTCCTTTACTGGGTTGTGTTTATGTGTCCTTTGGTGGAATCTGAGTGGAAATGAGATCACTGTTTGTCAGCAGTAAGCTTCAAAACCAAAGCCATGTCTACCACAAGTCGGTGGATGCTGAGAGTACTTTAAGCCGGCTCGCGCAGGGCTGCTGCGCTCAGGGCTGCTGCGCAGGGTGCACAGGGCAGCTGCTGCCCTGCACGTGTCGCAGAGGATTGGCTCTGCGTGGACAGGGGGGATACAGCCCCAGCCGGCACCGGGCAGAGCTGCATGGCTGCAGCACGGGGTGCCTCAAGACCGTGCATCCCTGCCCCTGCTACCTCGGCTTGTGGTGTAGATGATGTACTGCGGGGATCCTTTCAACGTTTTGAAAAAAAACTGAATTCTCACTTATCTCCCCATAAAATCCAGGCAGATTTTCTGGAAAGGGGTCTTAAAACTGTGTGGCCAGCTTTATTCTTACACACATTCAGCAGCGTTTCTCTGAATCATCCCATTGATTTAGAAGTTGGATTTATGAAGTAATAAATGTGGCAGAATCCAGCCAAGAATGTGTCTGAACTGGCTTTCCAGGAACGGCTGGGTCGGCTGATGGCAGCATGAACTGCTGCG